TTCCTGGTTAAATTCCAGCTGGAATTTTTCAGTTTCCAGGAACTTGGCATGATTTAACTTCAGCTCTCCAGGGCCGAGATTAACGCAGTGTTAGAAGATCCTTCCAAAGTCCGTCGATGGGAACAAATAAACAAAGTGATCAGTTCTGCTAGGAAAACTCGGGAAATCTTTCCGACGCAGAGCTGTGACCCACAACAACTTGGGCTGCGGTAGAAGCCTGGAAGCGAGGCACTGCTGGGTGGCAGAGGTGGAGGGAAGAGTGAAGGCTGGGGGTTTGGCTTGCTGGACAGTATCTGGTGTGAGGCGAACCAGTGGTTGAAATAAAGGTTGAGTTTGGTTGCAACAGATGCACGTGTAGTTCTGTTTAAACAATGCTCTCCCAGAACGGCAAGGAAAACTTGTTTTGAAGACACTGTCTGAAGATAACGCCAGGGTGGCAACAGTCTTTTGCTGTCAGTCCCATGCAACCCAAACACAGCTGGGCTTCGTGGCATACTGGAGCAGGATGGAAGGCTCTTGACAAAACCTTTGGCCAGAAAATGCTGCCTAATAACCATTTTCTAGATATGCAGCCTCTCAGGTGCCAGGACAGACTTAAGAACACTTCCTAACTGTCCAAATGAAATTTTAAATTTTTTCTTGTCCAGAATATTTTGAAATTCCATTTTTCATACCACCCTAATCATTTTTTGTTTCATGTCAGGGTCCTAACATTTGGAAAGTGGAACTATGAATAAAGAGAAGGAGAAAACAGACAAATTAGTCCAACCCACAGCAGAATGTCTGACATGTAGCTGGATTTGACTCTGGGATCTTTGGTTAAAGTGATATTTTGGTCTGAGACCCGTGTGCTTCTCCTTTATTTTTAAAAGGTAGTTTGAATTTAAAAAAGGCAACAGCATTGTCTGTAGAAGTAATTGTTTTTCAGCACAACATCTTTTTTACGCAATAACTCATAGAATCATAGAATCATTAAGGTTGGAAAAGACCCTTAAGATCATCAAGTCCAACCATTAACCCAGCACTGCCAAGTCCACCACTAAACCATGTCCCTAAGCGCCACATCTATCCGTTCTTTAAATACCTCCAGGGATGGGGACTCGACCCCTTCCCTGTGCAGCCTGGTCCAGTGCCTGACTGCCCTTTCGGTGAAGAAGTTTTTCCTAATATCCAACCTAAACCTCCCCTGGCGCAGCTTGAGGCCGTTTCCTCTTGTCCTGTCACTTGCTGCTTGGGAGGAGAGACCGACCCCCACCTCGCTACAGCCTCCTTTCAGGTAGTTGCAGAGAGCAATAAGGTCTCCCCTCAGCCTCCTCTTCTCCAGACTAAACAACCCCAGCTCCCTCAGCTGCTCCTCATCAGACTTGTGCTCTAGACCCTTCACCAGCTTCTCTGCCCTTCTCTGGACACGCTCCAGCAACTGATTAATTTCTCTTGCTACTGCTGAGAATGAATCTGGTCTGGTGCCCCTTCAAAATTAAGCAAAAATTGTAATTTCCATTACAACAACAGTGTAAGAATTTATTGTTAATGCATATCAATACATGCTGGTGCAAACAACGTGCATACATTTCTGCAGTGCTGCTAATTAGGTTGTAAAGAAGGAAGTAGTGTGTTTTTCTGTGCCTAAGTGGCTAAAACAATTTGATCAAGCCCAGTTTTAATGGCTAATGCAATTGGTTACGTTTTGTAAAAGCTCGACTGACTCCTAACCCCCAGCTGTACAAGGTCCCATACTGGTGTTATAGACCATCCGTCAGAGAGGTCACGGCGTGGAAGGGAAGCAAACTCTGCAGAGCTGCCATACACCCTGCAGAAGCAGAGATCGAGGCGACGACTGGAAACTTGGTTTCACAATGGCACTTCAGTATTGGACTGCACTGTTGTCGCCATTAACACAACGGGATAATACCAGTCCCTCCTGGGACAAGGAAGGAAACTTAGTGGTTGCTTGTGATTCTGAAAAGGTTAAATCTTCTGTCGAGGGCAGCGTAACATTGTGCAGTTTCTTACTGGAGTCACATAGTAAAGCAATGATCTAATTTTGGTTTGTTCAAGACCGTGATACAGTGATCTATCCAGAGTCTTTCCACTGCACTTGAGAAGCAGTGGAAAGCATCACAGAAGGTAAAAAAGCGTAAGAAGTACCATGCGTTTTGTTCCATGCTAGGTGTGCAAACATGCAGCAATATTATAGCTGTCTCGTTTGGTGGCTTTCCTAAATGCATCAATGTGCTCTTTTCAGCAATTAGCGATATGTTAATTCCTTGTACTTTCTTCTGCTAAGGCTTCATATGGTTTTGATATTCCAGCCTGTCTTCCAGTAAACAAATATGAACACAGCAACAGAAACAACTGCACAAAAAATTCCAAGTAAATGAAAACTAATAAAGACAGATGGGATACCAAGAACTGAATATTGAAATCAGTAAATTGATGTAATATATAGGTATTCATTATGACATACTCTGGCTACCCAATGTGTGTATTTGAAAAGCTAGAGTGGAGATGTATGTTCTTTATAACACTAGATGCTACCTAATCCCACAGATATTTCTCCCGACATCAAGAAAGTTGCTGACATTTTACAGCTGTGGAATTAATCACTGTGACCCAGGATGTCAGAATTTTAGCCGAACACCAACAGTAGTCACACCATTCCCTTTCTCTTACCTCCGAGTTTCTTTTAATCTGAGCAACTGTAACTGGCATCCTGAAGGACAAAAGAAAGAAACATAGCAAAAAGTACTGGAGGCTGAAAGGAGCTGTGTAAGTTCAGAGAAATAAGTTCCTGTGTTAATCTACAGTCTTTATATCCTTGGCTTTTTTTTTCTTTTTGTAATATACTAGCTGTTCTGCTTCTCCATTTATCAAAATTTTATCTCTACTCAAACTAATTCCCAGTTACTGCTTTCTAAATGCCGCTGCAGTGCTTTCAAGGTGTTGTGACCCCCTTGTATTAACCAGAGTAAAAAGTTCATCCTTCAGTTGAAAGTATTTTCTGTTGCTTAGAACGGAGGAATGCGAGGGGGCTCCTGGATTCCTTTACTAACTCTTCTTCTGACTCCGTTCTGACTTTGCACAAGTTGATTCCTGGGTCTCTGTTTCTCCT